CGGAGCCAGGCCTGGGCATCTCCCTCGAGAGAGCACAGAGCCCGGTGACCAGGCCACAGTCACACCTGGCCGCAGTTCCCACCCCCACCCCCAAAGTGTGTGTTTATTACTTCACTCCCTCCGCAAGTACTTCCTGAGAACCCATCTCTTACAAAATTTGGTCACGTCATCTCCTGCTCAGAACCCTCCCCGGTACTGGCAGAGAATCCGAATTCCCCTGCCTCCCCAGCTTCTTCACACCCTCCTGCCTCCCACCTCCCTCCCCAAGGCCTCTGCACTTTCTGTTCCTTCTGCCTGCAGTGTTCTTCCCTGCACGTCCCATGACTGGCTGTTTCCCATCAGAGGGAACTTTTCTCAGGAGATGCCTCTCAGGGGGGTGGCCTCCCCAGACCTCCCAGGCTCCAGACGCCCCCCACCCCCACCACGGACCACTGGCCCCGATCTTGTCTTACTTCCTCTTATTTCCCGGTGCTCTTTGCCACCTGACATTCTCTTGGGTCAGGAAAGGTGCTTTCCTGGCTGCCTACTCCTTCCCACAGTGGACTCTGGGCCTGGAGGAGGGTGCCATTCATCCTGCCCATTGCTGGAGCTCCAGCCCTGTTACCAGCACTCAGCAGGTGCTCAATACTTGTCTGCTGGCCGACCACTCCAAGTTCCGGGGGGAGCAGCAGTCCTAGGCAGCTGGCCTAGGCAGCCCCTACCCCTGAACACCCCAGAATCTCAAAGCTACCACGGAGGAAGGACAGGCTGCAGCCTGAGCGTGGAGGTGGGAGTCACGTGTGCAAGTGGGTCCCAGGCAGGCCTGACCTGAGCCCCCAGAGGGGCAGCTGTCCCTACAGGCGCTGTGGGGAAGGGAAGATGTCACCGAGATGCAGATCCCAGAGCAACCTGAGGCCAGCTGGTTCCCCCCCGCAACCCTCACGGCCTGGGCTGGACCCTACCGATGGCTCCATCTCTTCTGGGCTTCCCTCCTGCTAAGCTAAGATGTCTCCTGCAAGTCAGTTGACCCCTCACCTTGAGCTAGGAAAGGACACAGGGCAGGACAGGGAGGATAAACGCCCAGGCTGGGTAAATGCCCAGAATGGTACATGGGAAACCCGGACCCCTTCAGAACACTCATCCAAGTGGTTAATACTTTATTCCACACCACCGTCTGATCCTCCTAACAAGCTGGCAGCTAGCGCTGCTTAGGGTTCCCATCTGAGTTTCCCAGGTGGTGAAACTACGGTGCGGGGAGCTTGAGCGGATTATCCAAGAGTGAACCTGGGCAGAAACATGGGGGATGGGACCCGAAAGTGGGGCCCAGCAGAACAAAGGGCAGAGGCTTCCAAGTGCAGGAGGAGAGGGGCAGGCCAGCCCGGGAGCCAGCGCACAGCTGAGGCACTCTAGGGGTGGGCGGCAGGCCATGCTCCCCCCAACCTCCGCAGCAGCTCCTTGCCAGCTCCCTTAGTCAGGAGGGAGGCTGGCGCTGGAAGCCCAAGGCCATTTGGATCCCCAAACACACAGTGCCAATCCTCCGCCCTCCCTCCGCCCTCCCGCTCCGCCTCCCTGGGATCTCACTCACTGCTCCTGGAAAAACAAGATGTAAATGCCCAATGCCTGCAGACACCACCCCTCTGAGCTTGCCACCCCGGCCCCCCATCGTCCCTGCCTCAGCCACCAGCAAGCCAGGCATCTCCCACTATCCTGCTGTCCTCAGAGGCCCACTGCTTAGGTCTTCCTCAATGTAAGGTTGGCTGTGTCACCTCTGCCTCTTTAGGGGACCCCAAAATGAGGCCTTAACCCCACTCTGCAGGTCCCTTCACACATCCCAGGCCCAGTGGAGCCTCAACCTCCAAAAACAGCAGATTCAATTCGAGTCCCCTTCTTCATCCCATTCCACCCCTCCACTCAATATCATGAGTTACTGTGACTCAACCAAGCAAACTGCCCCTAACGGCCTCAGTTTCTCCGCCTGCAAAATGGGAACGAGACCCTGGCCTCCCCAGCCAGGCTGTGGGGAGGCTGAGAAGTGATCAGAAATGTGACAAAAGGACTATGGAACCACCAGGTTTGTAGTCACCAGGCCCCACACCTTCCTGGGTGTCACAGGGAGGACAGCGAGACCCCAGGGTGGCCCCTCACAGCACCCCCTCTCCAAAGGACCTGCTCCCAGGAGGGTACAAAACCGGGTCCAGGCCCAGTGCCATAAATAGCACCTTCCTCAGGGGACATGCTGCCACCTTCTTCTCGCTTAACTGGGCACATCACGAGTGTCATCCGGCCCAGCTGGACACCAGTTAGCTACCCCCGCCCTGCAGCTGCTACCTTCTGGGACTGTCCTGCTTACAGGGGACCAACCACCTCCACACAGTTAAGCCATGCCCCTTCCCCCAGCAGAGCCGTCTGTCAGGTGTCCCAACAAACCCCGCTTGGTCTCTTCGGGGGACCCTGAAACTGGGGTCATTTCCTGCCCAGTTTCTGATGAGGAACACAGGACTGTTGGGGAGGGTGGGGCCCGTCAAGGGGGCAAGTGAAATATCTGCTCTGTGCCAGGCCTGGGCCAGAGTCCGGACCCAAGGGAGCATCACATAGGCCACTGCCCTCGACGAGTCAGGGCGAGAACAGTGGCGATGCGGATGAGAGATTAACTGCGCTGTGCCCAGCTCTGCGTCCAGTGTCACCTCACCTTCCACCACCCACCCATTACACCACGGTCCTCCCGAAGAGGAGATTTGCACCAGAACCCTCTAGGTTCCCCTGTGCAGAAGAGGAAGCTGGCCCAGGCAGAGCCCCAGGGACTGCCCCAAGGTCAGTCTCAGTCTGCTATGCCCGCGCCCTGTGAATCAGCCACTGGTCATTCTCACAGGCTGCCCCGGGGTAGGCCCACTTGCCGGACAACTTTGGTAATAACAGTAGATGCCTGACAGAAGTTGGCAGTGATTACTCTGTGCCTGACACTGGGCTAAACACTTCACACAGATCATCACCTCTCAGCCTCAAGAGTCTGTGGCTCAGAGAAGTTAAGTCAATTGTCCAAGGTCACACAACTGGAAAGGAACTGCGCAGGGATTCAAACCCACGTAGCCCCGGATCCAGAATCTGGGATTTCAACTCTGACACTCAAATGGCATATTATTTGACCCCCACCTCCCCCGCTCCCATGCCTGAGGGGCCAAGGGGTACAAGTGAAGCCCAGTCCGCCCCCATCAGAGCAGTCTGGGTGACTGGGGCCAAGAGCTCTATACTGGGGACACGGGGATGACAAGCGCCCGGGCAGCTCCCGCGTGCCAAGCGCGGGCGACGTGCAGGCGCGATCCACGCACCCTCTCATTTAACCCTGCCAGGCAACTCCGTCGCCTCCCCGCCTCTACCAAAGGGCTAAGAAGAGGCTGGAGAGAGGAAGGGACGCGGCCCGGGGTGGGGGGACAGCTGGAGGGGGAACGACAGCTGGAGAGGCAATTCCAGTTGGCTTGACTGGGGGAGGAAGCTTGGGGGGGGCGCGACCACGAGACCCAGTCATGCCCACGCCGCGTAGTCACCGCCGACGGAACCGGGCACCAAACCTCGCAGCCCGTCCTCAGTTTCCCCACCTGCGAAGTGGGCGCCAGACGTCGCCAGGACCTCCTCTCCTACCCCCCGGATTCCTCCTAACCACCCCGAAGGCTGCCAGGATCCCCGCCTCCTGTTAATTTTTGAAAATCTCTAAGTGTCCCGAGGAGCCCCGCGGCCGGCCTGGGGCGCCGAACTGCGGGCCGCGGTGAGGGGCACGCACTGCGTTGGTGGGGTGGTACACTCGCTCCCTGCAAAGCAGCCGCCGCCGCCCCCCGCCGCCTCCTTTGTCCCGATCTCTCCGCAGCGCAGCGGACAAAGAACCCCCGCCCGCGGGCGCGGCCCCCCGGAACAGACCCTCCCCCCGAAGCCGCGCCCCCCGCCCAGGTGGCCCCTCCCCCGCCGCAGCGACCCCCAGCCCGCCACCGAGCCTCCCAGCGCGCACCCCAACCCCAAGGGGGGCCGCCCCTTCCCCTTCTGCAGGGCCCCGCCGGGCCCAAGCACCCGGCACCCACACCCCCACGACCCTTCCCGTCTCCGCTCACCATGGCGCCGTCCGCAGCCCGGCCCGATCACCCCGCAGTAGCCCCGGGGGCCCGGCTCCACCCGCCCGCCAGCCCGGTCCGGTCGCCGCGCACCGTCCGGACGCAGGAGCCCCGCTCTGCGGCGGGCGGGGCGTCTCCGGCTCCGCCCCCGGACGGGGGCGGGGGTCTTCCCTGAGTAGCCAATGGGAACCCGCGTTTGGACGACTGGGCGGGGCGGGCCGGGGCGGGGTCACGTGCGCGCGAGGCGGGCCGCCCAGGCGGGGCGGGGGCTGCGCGCTGCTGGCAGGACTGGGGGCGGGGGGCGGGCTCGGCCTCGGAGCACGGCGATTGGGCGCGGGTGGGTGCGGGGCCCCCGTGCCCGGAACCCCCGCCTCCAGCCCCGAGAGGCTTCCCTTACTCCCGCCAGCGAACAGAGGGGAGAACTGAGGCGCATAGCAGGTAAGAGTGTGGCAAGCTGCCCGGGCGGGACAAAAGACAGGCAGGACCCCTGAGTTACCTGTCCTCCTTTGGAGCGGGAGCTGGTCATTCACTCGTTTATTAATTAGTTCATTACTGCATCATCCATCCATTCATTCGACGTTTGTGGAACGCCAGCCATGTACTCTGGGTGTACCAGTGGTCGCCGGAATAACCACGAACAGCACAAGCAAGGACCCTGCCTCAACAGACCTCCCATTCTGCTGCGGGCTGAAACAGGATTTGCAGCCTTTTTGGCCTCTTTTCATCATGGTTATTGAACGTAATAGCCCCCGCGATTAGGCCTCACCCAGCGCTAGGCCCTGTGCTCGCCTCTTAACACACTTCATGGAGAAAACTGGGAAAGGAGGAGCTGCTCATTTTGCAGTTGATGTTCCAGAGAACTGAAGTACCACAGCCCACATATAATAAAGACAGAATTGGAGGCCAGGCCTGTTTGCCCTGGGAATGACTGCCAGTCAGTCCACTTGTCCACCCAGGAAGGCGGTCAAAGAAGAGGACACTCCAACCCCCTGTGGCCAGCTGGCTGTAAGAGGGGCAAGGATGGGTCCTTCAAGGCCTCTGTGGCCCAAGTTCCCTGGACCACCGCCTCTGGCTTGCAAGGTAGGGGCAGGTGGAGCACCTCATCCTGGGAACTGGTAATCTTGTCTGGAGATGTCTTTTCCAGTCTCAAGTAGAGTCCTTGGAACTTCCCTGGTGGTCCAGAGGTTAAGAATCCACCAGCCAATGCAGGGGACAGTTCAATCCTGGTCCCGGAAGATTCCACATGCTGTGGGGCAATTAAGCCCCCTCATCACAAGTCCTGAGCCGATGGGTTGCAGTTGCTGAGCCTGTGCGCCCTTGAGCCCATGTTCCACAACAAGAGAAGCCACTGCATTGAGAAGCCCAAGCACAACTAGAGAGTCTCCCCCACTCCTTGCAACTAGAGAAAACCCTTGGGCAGCAACCATGACCCAGCACAGACAAAAAAAAAAAAAAGCAGAGCCCTCTGGGAGAAGATGGAGGGCCCCACTCTCATGGCCATAGTCACCACACTCTTTCTGCTCCATCCACTCGGGGTTGGTGTCTTCCTGCTTCCAATGCACCGTGCTGTTTCCCACCTCTGGGCCTTTGCCTGTGCTGTTTCCTTGAGCTGAAATGTTCTTCCACTCCATCTTTCAGAGGGCACTCCCTGATTTCCACCCAGTGCTGTGTGTTATGTTCTAGCTTGTGCACTGCAAAATTGTACATTTACAAGAGCATATGATACGTGCTTGTCTGAAGGAAGGAATGGGCAGACTGCAGACCTCCGGGTCTGACCCTGCTGCACCATAGCCGAGAGGCTAGGCCCAAGAGGTGAGCTGGGGGTTCAGTGAGAGTGGGCGAAGAGGCAGGGGGCATTCAGCTCCAGGCCAGCTCCCCAGAGGCCAGAGCCAGACAGCTCAACACAGCTCCTACTTCTGAGTTGGCCCAGTGCCACCCTCAAAGGCTCCTGCCGGGTCAGACACACCTGGGAGCCCCGGTGAAAGGAATCAAGTTCTTGCCGCAGAGTCAGTTTCAGCGGCCTCTGTGGTCCCAGCCTCAAGTGGCCAAAGACCTCCTTAGTGGTGAGCAGGTGGGAGGGGCAGGCCCAGAACCCCAGAGCCAGGGTTGGCAAAAAAGTGACAAGGACTCAGGGACACTTTGAGGGGAAAGATTCTGGGAGGAAAAAATAGTGATGGGGGTTTACAGCATAGCATGTATGATGAGCCTCAGACTGGGTGCAGTGCAGCCTTTCCTGCAGGGTAGCTTGAGAAAAGCAGCCTGACCTCTCTGAACCTCAGTTTCATTGCCTGAAAAATGGGGTTGACAGCAAGGGCAGTTGTGAGCACCGCAAGGGTTTAGTACAGAGGAAACAATTCCATTCACTCTCTCTCTCTCTTGTTTTTAATACTTATTTTTTTGGCCATGCCACACAGCATGTGGGGTCTTAGTTCCCCAACCAGGGATCAAACTTGTGCCCCTTGCATTGGAAGCATGGGGGTCTTAACCACTGAACTGCCAGGGAAGTCCTCCATTCACTCTTAACATTAGTAGTGGGGTTGGATGGGTGTGGGAGTGAACCTGGGCTTCCTCATTTGGATCTTGGGCAAATCACTGCCCAATCACATTTCTTGGAGCCTCAGGCTCTTGGTCTTCACAAGGACAACCCACCTCTGGGGTGCTGAAAGGTCGGGGGGTGGGGGCTGGGAATAGCCCAGCTATCTGTCTTGCTCAGAGTGAGTTGCTTCAACAATAGCAATAACAACGAATAAATAATAAGAGCAGCAAACCGTGTTCTAAGCACTACTGCATATACATGAACCCATTTTAATCCCCATTTTACAGATGAGGCACAGAGCGGCGCATGTGCATAGAAATTACCTGGGGGGGGGCGGGTGGTCTTGTTAAATTGTAGATTCTGACTCAGTAGGTTGGGACCAAAGTTTCTGCATTTCTCACAAGCCCCCAGGTGGTAGTGATGGTTTGGGTACCACACTTTGAGCCTCAAGGGACTAGTGCATTTGCTAAAGGTCACAGGTGGTGCACACCAAGCCTTGATTGAAGCCCTCCCAGTAGACTGCCAAGTCGTGAACTTAACCGCCACCCTAACTGTCTGCCCCAACCCTAGCTTTCTCCCCTGCAAAGAGACAGGAAGTATAGCTCCCCTCCCCAAGCCCATTTCTTCTCTCCGGGAAGTGGGGGTGCTAATACCTCCTGCCGTTGGTGACATCTGGTCCATAGAACTGCCCTGCCCCCAGCATCCCAGGGGTCCTCCTGACGATGACAGGGAGGTTTTTAGATGCTCATTAGCCAGGAAGATAATTAAGGGCGAGGGCTGAGCTCGCAGTGGCTCCCTGGGGCTTGCTGGGGCCCAGCTGGGCCTGCCCTGTGCTAGCCTGGCCCTGTGCCCACTTCCCTTGGGGCTCAGGAGGGGCTGGGAGGGGCTTGCCAGGGAATAGAGAGGCCTCAGCCAGCCTCCGGGGAGACTCCAGTGGGGCCTCCTGCCAGCCCACTGCTCCTCGGGTTCCAGGCCTAAACATGAAGAGAACTGCTGGGCCAGAGGGCAGTTCCACGGAGGGTGAGAGGCAAGTTCTGCAGGGCGAGGTTAGGTGGGACACAGACAGGGTGTCACCTAACTCTGAGTCACCCAGCAATCTGGGTCAAGGAGAGAAATCGGCCCTTGCTGGTCGGTGGGTATAACATCTCTCTGGCCTCTCTCTAGCACCGGCTCGGCCCCGTTATAACCTTATAACCTCAGGCTGACAGTCTTGGGCAATCCACACTCCCATCTCAAATTGAACAACGTGTTGTTTTTCTGCAGTTTATGTTACTGTCTATTTTTGGCCCAGATATTGCTTTTCCGTTTATGATAGTGACATATCCATCCTTTTTATGTATTTATTTATGTTGGCTGTGCTGCGAAGCTGGTGGGGTCTTAGGTTCCCAGCCAGGGACTAAAACCCACACCATAACAGTGAAAGCACCTTGTCCTAACCACTGGACCCACCAGGGAATTCCCCCCATTCCTTTTTTTTAAAAAAACTATTTAAAAAAATTTGCTCTTGGTTTTTATTTTTGGCTGTGCTGGGTCTTTGCTGATGTATGTGGGCTCCCTCCAGCTGTAGAACGGAGCAGGGGTACTATCTAATTGCGGTGCACGGGCCCCTCACTACAACGGCCTCCCCTGTTGTGGAGCACGAACTCCAGGGCACACAGGCTTCCCTAGTTGCCGTGCACGGGCCCAGCTGCCCCGTGGTGTGTGGGATCTTCCCAGACTAGAAACCGAACCCACGTCCCCTGCATTGGCAGGCAGACATCCAACCACTGGACCACCAGTGAATTCCTTCCCCCATCCCTTCCATTCCTTTTTAAAGCAGTCTCTTCAGGGAGAAGAAAAAAAAGAAGTGGGTTAATTTAAAGCAAAGTGTAATAGAAATAACTTGAGATGGTTAGGGGAACTAGCAGCAGTGAAGATGGGGGCAGATGGAAGGCTGAAATGGGGTACGTGCCAGAGCTGAACCCCACAGCGGCTTGAAGCCCGGTGCTCTTAATTCAATGCCAGACAAGAGCCCCTGGCCGGGGCAGAGACATCCCATCGGCTCCTGTGTCTCCTGGAAAATTCCAGCTGGGTTGTCATGGGCTGAGAGGAACCTGGGTTGGTTCTGGTCTTCATTTCTGGGGTCTGTTATCAGCGTGATGAGGGGTAGTCTTGGGGAGTGGGGAGGGCATGGCTGTCCGCACGTGCTCCCTGCCTGAAGCCTGTTCTGTATTTCCACGTGTGGTACCCACCCCCCCACCCCAAACACACACGTACACCTGAGCACCGGAGCCCCTTAATCACCCATTCACCATAGCCTTCATTTATTCACTCAGTTTTTTTTCATTTATTTAGCCGATCTTTATGGAGAACCTCCTCTGTGCCAAGCACTGTGCTCCCTCCTGGGGAGACAGGCATGAATCAGATGGAAACCTCAGCCCTCCTGGCATTCACAGCCTCTCAGAGGGAAGACAGATGATAAACGCAGAAATGAGTACTTTGCAGGGCTTGTCAGACTGTGTATGCGCTGGGGAAGAAGGGAAAGACAGTAAGGGAAGAGGTGTGGGGGCTGGGAGGGGGCAGGGGAGAGGGGCACTCTGTCACAGACGTGGAAGAAGGCAGTGGTGCAGGAATCCCTTTTATTTTGATTTTAAGTAATTTTTTGTTGTTGTTGATTTTAAGTCATTTTATTAGCAAACTTCAGGTGCAGAGAATGATGGACTTATCATAACCCAGATCATGGTGTATTCTCTTTGGTCCTTGCATGACCTGATTTTCTTAAAAATTTCCACAGTTATTTTAATCATGTGATTAACACCACGTAACCCATTAATCAAAAGCTAGGACCCTAACAATGGCCAATGTCCAGGCTTGAGGTTTCTCCTTCTCCATCCCGTCCCCCTTGTCATCCCCATCGCCTTGGGTCCTGTCTTCATTGGTCCCGACTTTCTTTCTTGGATGGTTTTATCCTCCAAGTCTATTTTTATGTTGTTGTTGTTCAGTTGCTAAGTCATGTCCGACTCTTTGGGACCCCCATGGACTGTAGCGTGCCAGGCTCCTGTCTCCTGGAGTTTGCTCAGATTCATGTCTGTTGAGTCAGTGATGCTATCTAACCATCTCATCCTCTGCCGCCCCGCTTCTCCTTTTATGTTTTTTTTTTAATGTTAGCTTCTTCTTACTATATTGAAAGGGTGTATTAGCTTCCCAGGGCTGCTGGAAGAAATTCCCACAAACTGGATGGCTTAATACAGTAGAAATTTATTCTCTCATAACTCTGTAAGCTAGAAGTTCAAGATCAAGGTGCTGGCAGAGCCACGTCCCCTTTGAAGGCTCTAGGGAAGGACGTGTTCCATGCTTCTCTCCTGGCTTCTGGTGGTTGCCAGCAATCCTTGGCAATCCGAGGCTTGTAGATGCATCACCCTAATCCCTGCCTCTGTCTTCACATGCCTGCTCCTCTATGTGTCGTCACCTCTCCGTTTTCTCCCCCAGCTTTATTGAGGAATAATTGGCAAATGTAATTGTATAATTTAAAGTGCACCGTGTGAAACTTCAAATATTAACACAT